CTAACATTGAAATGAAGAAATAAATTTGAAAAAAAATAGGTTAAAACACTACAAACTGTAAACTAAATATTAGGCAATCAACTAGGAGAATCATTATTAAATTGTCACAGTAACTTATCAGAGGAAAATAAAATTGAATAGGAAGTCTATACTGTGGGAATAACAAAATATTAAACTTTTTCAACTACAATTTTTTTGACAAGTACTTAACAAAGTTCTTAACACTCCTAACTATTGGTAAATATAACTAAACCAGAATGGCCAGCAATGTTAATTTCAAAGATTATAATTTTATGCTAACACTGACTGGCTTTTTAAAAACATTTCTACTGCCTGTAAAATTTTCATAGAAGACTTAATATTACACAATTTAGTTAATAAACAATGAGATTTTATAGCTTTCAAATATAGAATGATCATCAGGTTCAACTGAATAGTTACAATTCCCACAGTTCTTTAGCTAGATTTCAACTTCATAAACAATATGCTACTTGAATTATATCACATGGCTGGATGTTGGAATATGAAGATGGTATTAACGCTTATACAGTCCTTTCATGTATAGAAGGATGCTACCATAAGGAAATGATTTTGAAGAGTAGTCCCTTTCCTTATCAAATCTTAGAAAATTTTATTTTTAAATCTGATAACCTGAAAAGGTTAAGAATTTCAAGAACACAAAAAACTGAATAATAAAAAATATTCTCACACATTTTGAAACAAATCAATCAGTCTTGGAATTACTTAAAACAAATGAATTTAAGATAAAGATTTGATTTAAGCAGATCTTACCAGATCTAAAGAATCTGAAAGCACACATGCATAGTTTGGTTTAGTATTTCCAAACCATGAAGAAAAAACAAAAATACATTTTTTGAGGTTAACAGCTCTGCTAATACTAGAATAAGCTTCAAAGCATTTCCTAGTGGCCCACGAATGTCTAACCATAGCTCAAAATTTAGATTCAGATAGCACCTAAATTTTAGAAATCTGTGCATTACCTTATTTCCCCGCTATTTTAAAAATCCAATTTTCATCTATATACATTCAGGGTGTATTTTGGATCTCTTTTCATGATACAGGGAAAGCTCAGTATATCTCCCTAATAGAATTTTCATCATACTGCTACAATTTTTTATGTTTTATCTAAAAAATTAGCTTTTACCAACAAAATGGTAAAAATAGAGGCAACTATAACTTAAAATTACACAGCTTCTTCATGTTTTATTCATAGCACGCTTTTACATCAGAAGCTTCACTGATACTTATTTACTGCAGCATCCTTTGGGTGAAGCACAAAATTACATTAATTATAAACAAACAAACCACTTTGACTTTTTAAAATTATATATATATATATATATATAGATATTTATATCCAGTTGACAAATAGCATCACAATTATTACTGTATAAAAAACTAAAAATCACCATGGAAGCTGAGGCCTAAGTTTTTATTCCAATTATTCCCTTTTGTTTAAGGTATTAAAATTAGATTCCAGTACCTCAAAAACAAACAAAAGCAAAAAAAGCAAAAAGAAAAAAAAGAGGTTTACATTATTTACACATAGTATGGAATATAAAAGCTGCTTTTTGGCTAAGTTAGACTGCTGTTACCTACAGTATTTACACTGTAAATATTAAGGGGAAAAAGACTAGTTAAAATACCATTTAAAAGAGAGATATATTGTGTCTGAAATTTTGTTCTGAAATTTATCTCCTAATAAGTATTTGTTGAATAGAATCTGACTTCTAAAAACTCTATTGAAAATCTGAAATAGAATACCACTATGCTTCTTTATATTACTAATCTAGATAATGTTAAATCCAATACTGTAGTAACTGTAAGCGCTGAACTTTAAGTGAAATATGGCAATGTGTACAGATGAAATTTTATTTAATATTGTAAAATATGCCTTAATGTTTTCCCACAATTATGAGACAGTCTACTCTTTAAATCCTTTAAGAAGTCTCATATGTGTCCTTAAATGTGAAACTTTGCAGTAACTTACCAGAAAAAAATTTATTATGTTTTTCGTAGGATTACTTTTCTAACACTTAAAAACATAAAAGTTTTGGCAAAAACAAACGCAATCAATTCAGTGTAACAGACTGAGCTTTAAACTACTTTAATTTTTAAAAACTGTAATGTACTAAGCTGATTGAATCAAATGTAGAATATTTAAATGACTATGAAGTTCATCAAATCAATGATAGAAGACACAGAAAAGTGAAGGTAAGTTTTGGGAAAGGTTAATATAGAAAATGGCAAGCCCTAATTTCAGTAACAAAAATGGCACTAAATGTAGATGAACGTTAAATTAACAGTATAAAAATGAATAGCTTAAATAAACCAGGATTCACATATTACAATAGCACAGTTATGACAGAATGAACCAAAGACATGAACAGTTCTCAAAATTCTCTTTTCAGCCTACTTCCAATAGAAACAGTCAGGCTTTTTCCTGTACATAGTTTTGATGCTTTGTCTATACCATATATAGTAGAAAAATAAATTCTTTAGCAACCTAGAAACAGTTTATAAAACTCTTAAAGTTTAATTTTCTTTGCCAGACATGCCAATGTTAAACTGACAGCTATAAATTAAAGCTATATAGACAACAGGTATAAGTAATATAGAACAAGTTAAGAATACTACATTTACCGGATAATTATTTTTTTAAAAATTACTGTACTTTCTTAATTCCTGTGTGCTTTGCAATAGGAATAATAGGGACTTTGTTTTCTTAGAAAAGATAATAACATGAAAGAGTATAACACAAATAAGATAATTTATAATATACATGTACTTCAACAGCAGCCTGGTTCATGTTGACATCTTGATTCTGAAGTTAAAATTGGAAGTACAATACCTAGGACATAATAGTTTGGAAAGAATATTTATTTTAGGGGAAAAATGAAGAAAATCAAACTCTTAGGAGCCTTGAATCTCAAAATCATCTATTTACTATAATATACAAGATAAATTTAAAATTGCATTATGAGTGAAGATTACAACATTGACCAAAGAATTTTTTCTTTACTACACAAAATATGACCTGACAATGGAAATAAACCATTTTTCTTCCTGGAAAAAAAATGGCGCAAGAGAATTTTGAATAGCGCCTAACAAAATTTACCTGTATCGCTATTCTGAAAATTTTAGCCACAATCTAATATTCTGGTTGTATCTTCAGTAACAAAATAACCCCAAAAGCAGCAGTCATTTGTAGCAACTCTGGTACCAACATCAAAGGAAAAAGGTTTAAAAATGGTGCAAAAGCCATTTTGGATTTTAGTACAACACATCACAGAAAAGAATATGAAAACAAGCTTATAATTTTATATATACATACTCCGAGGAGTCTGTCAGTACCCAAAGTATTTTTATTGCTATATTAGCAATGGATTTTTTTGGATATATTTTTAAGGGCCACATAAAAATAGATTCAAGGAACAGATTAAATTGAAGTCCTAGATTAAAATGTTTGGTTTAAAGAATTTTCTACAACAAATTTCATGTTTATGTATGAAAAGTTATATAACCTTATATGAAAATGTCATGAAGTATTCTTCTATACTATACTAAATGTATTCCCCAAGAGGGAAAAAAATTAAAATATCTAAAATATATTAGATTAAGAATACAAGACCATCATAGATCTTATGAACATGCAACTGTTTACAGAATTAACCGTATACAAAATGTTTACTTTAATATTGACCATAAGGAAATGAATTGTTGACACCTATCCTTTGCACATTATCAACTCACTTTAGCCACAAGCATGTCCTTGGGTATGAGTATAAAAGAAATAAATTTATGTATTCTTCATCAAATCATTCACAGATTTATCTAGAAGTGAAAAAATGTGAAGGTGCAGAAATGTGAAATATACTGAATGTATTTTTTTCTTTCAAACAATATCCCAGGTATGGCATAAGTAGTCTGAAATTACAAAATACAAGGTGTGATCAAAATATACAGTGAATGTTTAAATTTAAAAAATTTCATTACAGTGTAAGATGCACTGCCATTAATCCCTCTCAAAATACTTCTCTTTGCTTTAAACACACTTATCCTAATTGCTCTTGCTACTTTCTGAAGCAGTTCTAGAAACACTCTGTTAAAGGTATGAATGCTGGTGTGGAATACTATCCAATTTGAAAAGCAGGCCCACTTAAAAATATTTCAGTGGGCTGGGTGTGGTGGTGGATGTGTGTAATCTCAACACACACGAGGCTGAGGCAGGAGAACTACTGGGAGTTCAAGGCTAGCCTGGGATGCACACTGAGTCTAGGTCAGCCTGAACTGCACAGTGAGACCCTGTCTCAACAACAAAAAATTACGTATGTCTTTATCCACCTTATTCACCAGATGGTGTGACTTCTGACTTTTTTCCAAAGCTAAAATGACCATGGAAGGTTAAGTGTTTTGAATCAATTCAGGACATCAGAGTAGTCACTACAGTCCAAATGAACATATTCATGAAAAAGGACTTTCAGAAATGCTTCAGAAAAATAGTAAGAATGATGGCATAAGTGTGTTTGCAGTTGAGAGAAATATTCTGAGGGGAATTAAAGGCAATGTGCCTCTTACTGTAACAAATTTTTTAAAAATTTTAAACATTGACCATATTATTAACCAGTTTTCAATCACATCATGTACTTCACTGGGCTTTTATCAACAGACTGCTAGAATGTAAATTAAGTTGCCCCAACAGGTACATCAAATAACAAAACCAGCCCATAAAGCAGGCTGAGAAGATTAAATGTTTCATATATGTGAGTTTTCAAATCATTTAATTTCTATAGAAAAATTTTATTCACAATATAATGTGACAGAAATTGCCACAGGAATGATATACTGATTGCAATAAGGTTGCATGCAGCAGCAGCTTTGTATTTTATAGCTATTTTTGTTTATAAAAATTAAACCTCTCCAGTCATGCTTACCACATGTTCTTAGATTTGTAATGTAAGTGAATAAGGAATACTATATAGTTCAAAGAGAAAGTGTCTCATTTGAATGTGAATTATCTGCATGAAACATGAAGTATACTACGGAACCCTGAAACATGCACATCTAGGTTTACTTTTTGTCCGATTTTAGGCTGTCTGCCATCACTTATATGATACCAAGAGGATCTGTCTGTAATTGTGGTTGTATCAGCTGAGGTTGCAATGGTGGTGGTAACTGAAGTGGTACCATTGATTCCACCAACTGTCCTGGGTTTGAAGGTGGAGGAGGAGCCACGGTGTTCGCAGTTTCTACAATTTCTCCATTGTAAAAGAAAAACTGACACTGCTGAATGAATGTTTCAACAACAGATTGATGGATCTTAGTGGTAGACAGAAACTCTCGATTTTCAAAATCAGGTCTCATCAAGGTTGGCCAAAAACAGATGGATAAGTTATCTGCTGTCATTAGGTTGATTTTATTTTGCTGACTGACCCTGAAATTATAAAAGGAAAAAGCAGAAATCAGAACTTATTACAACTACAAAATACCAGAGCTGAATATTTCTATTATGTTACCTATTATTCTAATGTCAAATTTAAAACATTTTTCTTCTTATACATCCTATGTTCAATTAATTATAGTCTAAAATAAGAGACAGAAATAAAAATCAACTTGTCATAAGACTCACAGTCTTTTAACTATCATAGGGTTTATAATTTTACATATGGAAGCTTTCTTAATTTGTATGGAAAGGAAAACACCCTCCCACACTAGAGTAAAGAAGGTCGTTCAATAAATTTTAATGAATGTCCAAAACAAAAACAAAAAATTGCAACTACATATCCAATTTTTTCTTTTTTTTTTTAAGACAATGTCTTGCCATGTAGCAGCCCATGTAGCATCGAGGCTGGCCTCAATCCTGCTTCAGCTTCCCAAATGATGAGATTATAGTAAATGCCACCATGCCTGCTGCATATCTAAATTCTTAAACTATTACAAGAGCTTAAAATATGAGTATGTCATCTCTTTCAACTAATTTGGGAAAAAAAAATACCTTTAAAAATATTTTTTATTTATTTGGTACAGGCTCTTGTTAGGCAGCTCAGACTTGTGGTGATCCTCCTATCTTAGCCTCCCCAGCACTAGGATTACAAGTGTGCACCACCATGCCCAGTTTCAGAGCTGGCATGGCATGTGGTACCCAGGATCAAACCCAGCCAGGTCCTTGCACTTGCCAAGCAGGCGCTTGGAGCATTGAGCTATCTCCCCAGTCTGGAAAAAAAAAATACTTTATCATAACACAATCCAGAATACTTTTAACTTTAAAAAAACCAAAGAAACAAACAAAAAAACCCAACTTTCTAGTGTTTCATAATACCATTAAATATTTTGTGTTACAAATTTCATATGAAAGACAAAACCCAGTTCATAACATATCCCACCTTAAAATCCTTATGATTTAACAATAATTTACCAATGGTCACATATAATACTAAATTATTTGCAACTAATCCTTTAAATCTCTAACCAATAACTTCTATCATCTCTAATAAGCAAGAAATAGAAGCAAATCTTGGAGCATAATTCAAAATTACTACATTGGGAGAGATCTTAGGGTGTTTACTTAACCCCTTTATTTCACACATACTGATAGTGACACAGACAGGAACTATGTAGGATGCAGGAAAGTAAGACAATCTTAAATTGCACATTAAAAAAATTTTAATCTAAGCCAAAAAAAATTTCAAAACACAGAAATTGCTCATCTGAGGTAAAATATATGGCCTAAAAAGTAAGTTCAGTGGTGTATCATTATCATTTGTTTCAAGAGACTTAATTAGAATACTTAAAATAAAATAAGCGTTGTATTACAATAAGCAGCTAAGGGCTGGGGAGATAGCTCAGCAGTCTAAGTGTCTGCCTGGTAAGCCAAGAACTCAAGTTTGATCACCAGTAGCATAGCAATGCTGGACCCAATGCTAGCCCTAAAACTTAGCATGCTGGCACACGTCTGTAATCCGGGTGCTGATGAGGCTGAGACTGGAGGATCACTACGACTGAGCTGTATAGTGAGACCCTGTACCAAACAAATAAATAAATAAAAATTAAAAATAAGTAAATTCTAGGTCTACAAAGACCTATCAAATTTGACTACAGAGATCAGAACTACTCAGAGAGCCAAAAAAGACAAAGGAGAAGTACCAACTCAAACAGAAATTAGGGTGGTGAGATGAGGCTTCCCAGAATAGGTAATGACATGAATTAAGTCAGGGATGACAGACATGGAAACAGTGGCCAGAAGGAAGAGCAATTCCATGAAAACTGTGCTTGTTAACTGTAGCGTATCTAAGAACCTCCTAAGGGTTCCTGGGGAGTACTTGATGTTGTTAGCTCATGTCAGGTGGGGTTTGGCTACCCTATTTGCCTTGTAGGTTCGAGGGTGATACAAAAGATGTTCTTGGGAGACTATACCTTGGTAACTACATTAGAGGTCACTAAATAAAAATGGATTAACTAAAGCACTAAATAACAGAAATTAGAAAAACTCACTTGATACTAGACATGGAGAATGAAAACAAATATAAACAATAATTTCATAGATTAATTTTTGTACCTTGGCAAAAAATTGTTAATCATTTATTGTACAATTATGTTTTTTCTCCTTTACTAGAATGTAAGCACCATGAAGTATATGATTGCCTTATTTACTGTTGTATCGCTTTAAGAGTGCCTGACATTAAGAGCTTTATCTAATGAGACTAGTTGAGTGTTCCTTTTAAAATTTAAACCTGATTATATTACTCATCTCTCTGTCCCGCTCTACAGTGGATCTTCCACACCATATACAGTAAAAGAGAGAACGTAAAACACACAATGCCTTTTTCCACCATCTCTTTAAAAAAACAACAAAAACACAACACAACACGGTAAACTGAAACCAGTAAGACATTTTGAGGACTACAGCTAGTCACTAGATAATATTCTGAAAAGCACTGTGCTGTAACAACTTGGCCCTAGGACGGGCCAGAGAGCTCAGGGGACTAAAGCACCTGCTTAGGCAGGTGTAGCAGCCGGGGTTTGATCCCCTGCATGCCATGCCAGCCATGCCCCCGGGCTGTGCTGAGACAGTGATTGAGACTGGGTGTGGTAGTGCATTGCCTGTAATCCCAGCACTTGGGAGGCTGAAAACAGTTTGATCTGTGTAGTGAGACTCTGTAATGAATGCATAAAAAATAAAAGATTGGGAAAAAAAAAACCAAACCACCTTGCACTGTCCTTTTCCTTTTCTCACTTTACCTCTTTCACTCTGTTCCCATTACACAGGCCTCTGTTAATCTTTAATGCATAAAATAAGCTTTTGGCCATGTTGTTAACTGTTGTTTCAATACAGCCAAAAACACAGTTCCGGGACACAGTAAAAATTTAAGATAATTCTGATAGTAGACCACACTATGATTCTTTGAATATGCTCTGGTTTTTGTTCTCTTTTTCCTAATCTTTTTAATGAAGTCCATTATTCTCATCTCAGGCAGACAATAATATATTCACAAAATATCTTTACACTGGATATTAGCTCTTCTCCAGTATCTATGTACACTGTTTAATCACCAAACCTCTTGTTATTGTACTGTGCTTTTAAGAAGAGAAAATTCCACTAAATATAATACACTACTTTAAATGCTGGTGTCTTCTTAAAGACTTGAAGGGAGTTATAAAGAATGTTATTACAGTTTTACATTACACAACATCAACCATAAAGCTTTAAACATTGCTCAATAGTACAGACTAAACTCCACCTCATTTGGGCTTTGATAATTAAGTTTAAAAAAAAAATGAAGCTCATTTTGTATTTTTTCCATAACTAGAGACTGAACCAGGGCCTCACACATGCTAGGCTCTACCAGTAAGCTATATTCCCATCCCTAAATATTGTGAAGACCTCTGCAAAAGATCAATACAAATATTAACCCTTACATTAAGTTCTTTACTTTGTTGCATTTTCTCATTTTTTACTGTTGAGAAAATGAAGACTTAGCTAGAATAATTTCTTCAATGTCACAAAACTAGAAATATACTTTTTAAAACGCCAATCTAAGCTTTGAGCCATTAATATAATTGTGTCTTGCAATTAACAAATGCTACCAGGAGTATATTTTCAGAAAAAGCATGAACTTGAACCCATGTTAAATATATTAATACTTAAGACTATTTGTGTGGAATACCTAAACGAAACAAACAAGACACAAACCAGCACCACGGTTTGGTAAAATGCAAATTGAACCACTTAGGACTTGGGCTCTAGTCATAAAAATGTATTATCTTTTAATTATGTGATTTAGGATACTTTCCCTCTTTCAGCCTTAAATTTTTTAACTCCAAATAGGCTGATTTGATTAAATACATAATTTTCATTTTATAAATAATATCCTAAGATTCTACATGAGAAATACTAACCATATTAACCATACTTACTATTTATATAATTATCACAGGTACAAAAATAATAAAACAGTTTTAGATATAATTAGAAAATATAAACTAGATAATCATAAGAGAACCAAAACTGAACCAGCTTAAGTTTGCTGTTCTTAAAAAAATCTTGTAATTACCCAATTTATAAAGTTTACACATTTGAAATATACAGATTTAGTATAGATTTAATTTACAAAAACAAAACAAAATACCTGTTTAGATGTGTTATCACATATCTGAATACATCATAGTTTACAGGATGAAATTTCTTGACAATTTCTTTCAAGGCATGAAGACGTTCTGTTTTATCCAGGATTTCTGTAAAAGTAGTGAAACTCACATTTAAAAATATTTGATAAAAGCTTAACACTTCCTATAAAAAAACAAGATTATGCCTAAAGAACATTGAGGGGCTGGGGAGATAGCTCAGTAGAATAAGCGCTTGCCTAGCAAGTGCAAGGTCCTGAGTTCAATCCCCAGTGATGCAAAAACAATACCAAAAAACAAAAAAAACACTTAAAGAACATTGAGTAGCAAACAACAAAAATTTGCTAAAGAACCAGCTAAATTATCTAAAACTCAAATCCTTTACATTATGTATTTAACTACCAGATCTTGTAAGTGAAGCTATTCAATGAAAATCAAAATGACTCAGCACTGATAAAATGGAAAATGGCATATTAGCAATTTACTCATGCAATTTATGTAACTAGATAGTGGTCTAGAATTTTCTAATTACTCACATAGTAAATCTATTCAGTCTACAAGCAGTAAATATTTCAGGTTTTGTGGATATAACTACCCAACCCTGCAGCAGTTGTGAGCACAGAAACAGTAACAGATAATAGGTAACAAGTGTGCATTGGTTGATTTTTTTTTCCTTTTTCTATGTATTTGGTACAGGGTCTGTAGGGTCACACTACATAGATCAGACTCATAGTGACTCTCCTGTTTTCAGCCTCCCAAGCACTAGGATTACAGGCATGCGCCACCATACCTAGTTTCAATCACCGTCTCAGTGCACTCCAGGGGCAGGGCCAGCACTGTGCACCAGGGACTGAATCTTGGTCCCTGTGCTCTGCCTAAGCAGGTGCTTTAGTCCACTGAGCTATTTGGCTGGCCCTGCATTGGCTGTTTTTCAAAAATACTTTTGAAATTTGGATTTATCATTTTAATGTGTCATGAAATTTCTTTTTTTCTTTTCTTTTTTTTTTTTTTTTTTTTTTGCAGAACCGGGGATTGAATTCAGATCCTTGCGTTTGCCGGTCAAGCGCTTATCCTACTGAGCCATCTCCCCGGCCCCATGAAATTTCTTTTTTAAAAAATGTAAAATCATAAGCCTTGCAAACATTAGAGGTCCATACTATACTTACTGAAAATCTACTTCAGTGATCAAAAACTTTCCTTTCTAGGCAGTTTATTCAACATAGTTACTCTCTAGATTTATGTAAATTATAAGACAAGGTAACTGACATGTGGTCCTGCAACAATAGAACATGAGAGACTGCTTGCTTGTTCATTTTTGAGACCAATGTGCATACTAAATCATTATAGTAGTATAATCAATTACTAACAAATTCTCATGTGTCACATTTCTAAATCAGTCCTCAAAAATGTTCCAAAAGTAGAAAAGTTCTGAGGCTAGTTTATGGTTCCGAAAAAAGAAAATCTAAACTATCAACTCAACTTCACACCAAGTTTATATGAAAAGTATAACTAAGACAAATGTATCTTGAGATAATATACTGTAGTTAATGAAAACTGTAATGAAGTAGCCTCAGTTAAGAACTAGGTTACTTTATGCCCAAGCAGACAGACCTGTAGCCACATTTTTAAAACAAATCAAGTTATTTACTAGAAATATGTGAGTGATTGATATCAAAGTAGGAATTAAATACCCCTTGTTATGCTTTACTGTTTCCAAAATTGTTTAAGATATAAAACTCAAGTAACTTTACCTTAAAAGCAAATTTAAACAAAAATCTGCAAACAACAAAAGTTTAATATTTTACTAATATATATATATATATATATATATATATTCATTTGAAAGTTTTTAATTTTGTCTTTGAACTTCAATTAAAGTACAAACCATAAACCTATTGTACACAAAATAAACATGCAAGCATTTATGTCACATTGCAGGCTAAAGCTGTATTCCTGGAAGCTAGCCCAGGGATACGACTTGACTTCAATTCAGAGACAAATATTATGAAAAAACACAATTCTAATAAACTTCATTTTTACTATCACATATTCTAGTGCAGGACTCACTAACACATGGCAACTAATATTCCAAAATTGAAACTGTTCTATCTTTTTCCAAGAAAAAGAAGTTAATACTTACTTGCTGCTTCCAATAGCTCTGGATGAAGAGAATATGGGATTAAAGGATCTGGCAGATCTGTAAAGAAAGCTTTAAGAGCTCCCGCTACAGCATTTACTGTTACTTCCATTGATACTAGATTGACATTATGATCTACAAGACAAAAAGCAATTTTATAATAAAATTATGACAAATGAGCTAATTAATACTTCTAAATCAAAAGATATTTAAAACTTCTCAGCAACTTTCATTTAGTGGCCAACAAACTACAGAGCCGAGAAAAAAAAAATAACGAAGTATTTTGTATGATAATTTAAAATGTTGTTGGCCTTTGCATCCTGAAGAACATTAATAATTCCTTTAATTTCTTTTGTTCCTTCTGGGCCTTTGACAGACTTTGCTTCAATTCTGAATGCCTTCTTTTCTAAAACTTCCTTTAATAGGGCACTTTTTGTGTTTCTGCATTTACATTTAAAAACATATATACAACACTGTATTTTCAACATTTGACCCAACTACCTATCATTTTCAATTTTTTTTTCTATTCCAAATGTATTTTATTAAAGTTTCTTATCTCCACCTTTCTCTTATAATTCTCTAGCTCAGGCTGTTAGCAAAAAAAGGCTCTGAAGTTATCAATTTTCTGACAAGCATAAAAACAACATACTTTCCCAGTTCTCCTGTCCCTTTACTCCACTTCTACTCTATTTAATACTTATAGACCTACGTTTGAAATTCTTTCTTCTCAATATTTATAACTTAAGGCCAGCCAAATAGCTCAGCAGACTGAAGTGCCTGCAAGCAGGTGCAGGGGCCAGGATTCCATCCCTAGGCCTGCCAAGCCGGCCCTGCCCTCGGGGCACGGAGCTGGTAATTGAGTCTGGGTGTGGTGGTACACGCCTGTAATCCCAGATCTTAGGAGGCTGTAAACAGCTGGGCCACTATGAGTCCGATCTAGTAGTGAGACCCTGAACACCCTGTAGGCCCTTCCCTAAAAAGTACAAAAAATAAAAAATAAAAAAATTGTATCTTTAGGAAGTTTTCAAATAAAAGCCTGTCTTTTCAACATAAAATTAAATAAGGAAAACAATAAAACAACCGTTTTCTTTTACATGATTATCCTCTTACCTTGATCAAATTGCTTTTGAATATTGTCTTGGTCAGTTTTGTTTCCACTAACACGGTAGAGTCCTTCTGTACACAATCCTAAGAGAATAAAGCAGTATAGTGGTTTTAGAAAATATAAAAAAGAATGCTAGCCTGTATTTAGTGGGTTGGAAGATTAAATATGATTAAGTAGTAATATTACTCAAATTTACCTACAAATTCAATGTAATCTCTAGCAAAATTCAATTTTTTTGCAATATCTTTTATTCTTTATTGGAAAAAAAACAGGAATGCTAGCTCTAGTTGGAATAATAAAGACTTAAATGAATGGACTATAGTTGTGCATGCCTGTGATCTCAGTACTCTGGGAGAATGGTAAATTCAACACTAGCATGGCAATTTAGCAAGACCTTGTCTCAAAATTCTAAAAAAACACAAGGGAAATACTCAAGGTGAAGGCCCTAGATTCAATCCCCAATACTGGCTGGAGAGTGAGGGCAGGAGAGGGTTATCAGTGTGGAATTTCACAAAGACAAACATTTGGTCATTAAAATGTTTCTATTTATTTTTAAAAAGCATTAATTTAAAAAGGATTAATTATATACCAGAAAATCTCAATGAATATTTTGTTTTTAGACAGAGGCATACTAAAACAATCTGAAGAAATGCTTCAAGGGCTACTTCTAATTTCTCTGTACTACAATAAAGCTAGAGAAAATGGCTTACACTTTAATTGTTAAATACAAATATCATAATGATCTCAACTTTGAGCACGTATTTGACATTGACTAGGTTAAATTTACTGAAAGACTAGAATTCCAAAACAAACTGAAAAAGTCCTATGCTTCCTAATGTGTTATCTTCAGAAGGATACTTCTGTCTTATATAGAATCCTAGTCAAAACATTAATCAGACCATGAATTGGCCAAGTAAAATTTAGGAATATTCTGCAAAAATCTGTTAAGAATCTTAAAAAATATCTAAGTGACATGAAAACATATACACAGGGCTAGAAATGCTCTAGATTAAAGACTAAACATTTCTTGAACACAGTGTTTGCACGGTGGGTACATGGAGAGAATGCTGGTTCTTAAACAGATAATGTTAAACAATATAAGACCAAATTTCATGACATCTGTAACTTAATCTTAAATTAAAAAAATTAAGAGGAAAGAAACATGGTAGTGATCTAGATGGAAGGAACACACATCTTCAAATTATTCTTTAAATATTTCAAAGACGAAGCGCCTGCTTAGGCAAGCACAGGGGCTGGGGTTCAACCCCTGGTACTGCATGCCATGCTGGCTCCACCTCTGGGCACACTAAGCCAGCCACTGAGAGCAGGCATTGTGATGCACGCCTGTAATCCCAGTGCTGAGGAGGCTGAAAACAGGAGGATCTCTGAGTCTGAGCTGTGTAGTGAGATCCTGTAACAAATACATAAAATAAAATAAAATAAAATAAAATAAAAATTTCAAAATGTTTCAAACTTGTGAGAAATTAATATGGATATTAAAAAACACAACCCTGGGCTGGGGATATAGTGGCATAAGTGCCTGCCAGGCAAGCGCAGGTCCTGAGCCCCATCCCCCTATACTAAAGTGTGTGTGTGTGTGTGTGTGTGAAACCCTATACAAGAGCAGAAAATTAAAAAAATAATAAAAAAAAAGAGCAAGACAACGAACAAATTGACTAATGGAAAATATAGAATGGTTAAGATCTATGGTCATATATTTAAAGTAAAATGTACTGGGTGTGATGGTACATGCCTGTACCCTAGCAGGAGGCTGAGGCAGGATTGCCCTGAGTTCAAGGCCACCTGTTCTGGCCCAAACAGAACAATCAGCAGAGAGTTTAACCAGATTTGAGGTTTTATCAAGTGAACTAAGTAGTGGAAGTTGAGGAAGTACAACAAAGTGAACATAAAAATAGATCATATCTAAGATTAACATAAAACAAAAAAGCCAAAGTGATTTTTAGCAAAACTATATTAAAGTGATAAAGTATGTCTTATAAACAGCACACAGGTTGAAATTTAAATAAACCTTTGCTTTAAGAGTTATAATTACACTTGTAATAAAGCAAGGATGCATGCATTCATTCCATCTCAATTATATTTATCCATCTTTGACATATGGGAGTAATACAAAAAATTTAGACCAAAAGAAAACACCAAGGGGGCTGGGGAGATGGCTCAGTGGAATAAGCGCTTTCCTGGCAAGTGCAAGGGCCTGAGTTCAATCCCCGGTTCCGCCAAAAAAAAAAAGAAAACACCATTAGCATTTATCCTTCCAATTCACTTTACTGGAAATGTAACAGCTACCCTTCAAAAACAGTCTCTATCTCTTTATAATTTATTTATAATAGGAAGGCATCTATATCAGTACATATGATATACAAATAAATCTATGCAAATAAAAAATCTAGAAACTAGGGATTTCAACTGTTTATCTGATGATGACCTAATCTATCATGACTAGAAAAGGGAAGAAAAACTATGGGGCCAAGAGCAAAACGGGTGTAACAAAGTCTTTTCACTAAAATACATTAATTTATCAGAACACCTCAAATTTTTCCACCTATTTAACTTAACCAAAAGTACAACTTAAGCTAATTCTACCAAGTTTTTCAACTCACAGTTGATTAGAAATTCCAAACTAGAAAGCAAAATGAGATGAGCAGCATCAGTAGGAGGTCAAAAAACTTACAACAACGTAAGGAGGCTAAAAAGCTATAAAATGCAGAAAAAAATTAGCCAATGTGTCCATAAAATAAGAATGTCATAATAGATTCTGAAGATAGGATACCTTAGAATGTTATTAAAAATATCACTTTAAAGGAGAAAACCCTTACTTTATGAAGTCAGTATAATATGAAAGCCAAACAAAGATGTAAGAAAACGAAACAGACTAGCTTTATTTATAAGTATAAAATACAAAACTCCAAAAAGGAAAAAAACACATTATCAAATAACCCAAAAGTATATTAAAAGCAGTATAGAGTATACACCATAGTCTATGGATTTATGCCAGAAATGTGACAGTGGTTTAACAAAAACAAACAAAATTAAATGACACAGAAAAATCATTTAACAGGGCTGGGTATATAGCTCAGCGGTATAAGTGCCTGCCTAGCAAGTGCAAGGTCCTGAGTGATTACGAGTACCACCACCAAAAAAAAAAAAAAAAAAAAAAAAAAGAAAGAAAGAAAGAAAAGAAAGAAAGAAGAAGAAAAAATAACAAAATCAATTCCGCAATACACTTTGAAAGTGTCCATGTAAAAAGAGAAGAATGACACACACAGAATACTAAAGCAGAAATTACAGTGATAAAGCTGTAAGCCAGGGAATGTCATTAGAATGAAGAAAAAGCAAGAGTTTCAGAAGGAACATAGTGTTAAAACCTTGATTTCAGACTTTCAGTCTTCAGAACTATGATAGAATAATTCTGTTATTTTAAGCAATTCAGACTGTGGAATTTTGTTATGGAAGCCCCAAGAAACTAACAAACTTTTTCAACATGATAAAGAATATTTATCATTAAACAAAATTCACAGCTCAAATATAATCAATGGTGAAAGAATAAATGCTTTCTCCTAAGACAGGGAACAAGAAGGTCTGCCTCTAAGATAAGGAACAAAACAAGGGTGCCCGATCTTACAACTGATATTCACCACTGCATTGAACATTCAATCTGGAGCAATGCAAAGAAATAAAATTTTTCCAAATTTTAAAGAAATACAATAACCCTATATTTATGGGACATAAAAGATACACTGCCCCCCAAAGAAAATAAACAAAAACCCATTTAATAGAGCTAATATTGTCCTCTTTCCTTTTTCAGAAGTTGCTTCCACACTGCCCCTCTTCTGTCTACTCTGAACTTGAATTAATATTTTTGGGCTCATTTCCTAACTGGAATTTAATACAACTTCTGATATAGCACTACTTATAAATAGGGACACTGCTTCAAACCATGTAAAATTAGCTGATAAAGAAATTGCTCTTCCACAGTAAACAAAGACAGTAAGATTTTTCTAAAAAACTTTTATGAAATAGTTTTTCAGGCTCTGAATAAGTGGCTCAAAACTACAGCAGGATATTAATCCCATTTACTCAAGAGGCTAAGGCACAGGATCTTCAAGTTTTAGCATTGGCAACTTAGTTAAGACCTTATCTCAATAAAATAAAAAAGAGCTGGGGATGTAACTCAGCATACGGGTTCAATCTCTAGTACCACAAACAATAATAACAAAACCAGCTATGCTCCATAAATAAAGACAAATGAAACAAGAGCTTTTAGGAGATAGTAAAGGGAGTTTAGAAACCCAACACACCACAATGAGGAAATAGGCTGTGGGAGAGATACACAGAGAAAGGGTTCATATATGTGGGAAGACCCTGGCATCTTTGGTTGAATAATGCAAATATTTATGAGAAAATTTTCTGAGGCCAGGAGTTAAACTGTTCTTGTTTTACTGTAGATTTAAGTAAGTATCAGAATACAAGCTGCTCTGGATCTTTCTTATTTTGATAAGTTGAATCTAGAAATATATAAAAAAGATAAAAGACTATAAACAAAGTACTACTTTTTCTGGGAATGCAAAATTGGTTTAACATTTGAAAACTCACCATAGAATAAAAAGATTCAAATTATTGCCTCAACAGAAGAAAGAAGCAAATCACTCAACTATGAAAGTATTCAAGAAATGGTAATTTTTAATTATATTAACAAATGATAGGACAAAATCAACATCCATTTGAGAGAAAAACTTTGGTAAACTAGCAATGTTAGAGTATTGTCTTGATTTGATGAAGGCATCTAAAAGAAATGGGACTGGGAGTGTAGCTCAGTGGTAGAACATTTATGTAGCATGTGTGATAGATATCCTGGGCTCCACTCCTAGCCCTTCCAAAAGGAAAGGAAACTCCCTTCAACAACACTATCCCTCAACACACACACACACACACACACACACACACACATTCTGTCTGTCTGTCTGTCTGTCTGTCTGTCTGTCTGTCTGTCTGTCTCTCTCTCTGGTCTAAAACTCCTCCAAAAGGCAACTGATAATAAAAGATTAAATGCTTTGTGGGTAATGAAAATAGTCACAGGGCGTGGTGGTGTACTCCTATAACCCTAGCACTCAGGAGGCAGAGACAGGAGGATAGCTGTGAATTTGAGGCCAGCCTAGGCTACACAGTGAGTTCAAGGCCAGTTCAAAGTATGTAATGAGACCCTGCATCCAACAAATAAAAAATGGTTTAAAAAAAGAAAAAAAAATTGTATCACAATAAAGTTACCAAAACTCATGTAGTACAGTTGAAATTGATTGCATGTAAATTTTATGAATAAAGTTCATTTTGCAGACTCATTTTCTTTGAGGTTGTTAAAAGGAAAATCTGATTACAAAAATGATATGGGTAATTTATATTATATGTATAAGCAGCAAAATACCATTTTAAAATAATCGATATATGCAATATATTTCTATTACTACAAGCTGAACCTTAAATATAAAACTGATGTGCTACATAGTCTATTATTGTGAGTTGTAAACTAAATTCTAAAGCAACTGCAAATTCTTGCTAAAACTTTACCAGTTTAAAATCCATATTTTAAAAAGAAATGCAACAATAAAAAAATAAAAAGAAATGCACCATACTACTTAGGACTAGCTTTATTAACCTTTTAGTCTACTTTTGTGGTCTTGCTGTTCCTCCTATTTCTACCAAAGCACTTAAACATATAAATTACCTGAATGAGTTAACCTGAATTAATTTGGGCTATGCTACAAATCAGAACTGCATTTTACTTCATATTTGAAATTCATTCATTTTCCTCAAACCAAATCACTCAACAACTTATGAAAGTATTCAAGAAATAATTTTTAATTATAATAACAAATGACAGGAATTTAAAATAGTAATAATAATTACTAATTCATCATTACTTTTATCACAAGTCAAACTATTTTTCAATTGCTTAGTCATACCTATAAGCCTTAACTATATTACCAGAAAAAATAAGAATCTTTTAAATCCAAAGCAGAAAGCTATTATTATTACCAATACTTTTGTATTTCTTATATACTAAAAGTGAACAGAAATACAGATTAAAAAGTTGCCTAAAACATACTTATCAAGTACTTGGGGGGAGTGACATATTCTATGTAAGTTCTATAGATCAATACTTAATAACTGAAGGAAAAAAGGACATGTTACAACTACAGTACAGTAATAGCAGCATTTCCTCTCATGGTACCCCTTATAAAATCAGTATTCTTTACCAAATAGATGATTCAGTATGTACAGAACCTAGCTGATAATCAAACTTAAGGGTAATATGGACATATGCAAAAAATGAGCCAAATTATTAGATAGGACATGGAAGTATTTGTTTTAAAAGAATACCTGTATTTAAAAAGAACATTAAGAACAAAGCCAAAAGCTGACATAGCTAATGTTTTCAAACCATTAAAATTTATAGTCCATTCAACATAGATTAATCTATCTTCATTTAAAATATATTCAGGCACAATAATCTGCCTCTACTGGACCTCTGACAGGTTCAACTCTATTTTTAGCTTCAACAGTTTAACATTAGGCAAAATAAACCTAACAGTAAGCTTTTAAATATATATCTATAACTATGGCTGTCAATTAAAAAAAAAAAAATCCATGTGTAAAATGGCTAATACAAATAGTGAATTTAAAAACACTGAAAACTTTCAAATTGTTGATTTAAATAATGTCTTGAAAGCATAATAATCAAGTTATTCTCAATTTTATTATTTTCTAAATCTTTTATTTATTTACTCTGGTACAGGGTCTTGCTCAGACTCAGTGATCCTCCTGTCTCAGCCTCCCCATTACAGGCATGTGCCACCATGCCCAGTTTCAGTGGCTGGCTTAGTGTGTAGGGTCAGCATGGCATGCAGTACCGGGGACTGAACCCTGGTCCTTGTGGTTGCCAGGCGGGTGCTTAGACTACTGAGCTATATTCCCAGCCCATTCTCAATTTCAGAATAAGGTAAATTTAACATTTCAGCATTCAACTTAGCCATTCATTAAGTTTAAGTCAGCAAAAGTTTTTACTGTCAATAATAGAAGTCCATTCAAATATCAGATGATTAATATTCAAGAAAACCAACTCTAACAATGAACTACAAACTTACTAATAAACTTCTTTCAAAACGTACTTTTAACAAATTATAAATACTTGATAAATTGTTGGTGTCCCAAAAGTAAAATTTTAAATCAAAGTTCGTATGTGGGTATCTTTCCTACCTGTATCTTCAATAAATTCCACACATTTTTCAACAAACAGTGGTATAGGCTTTTCAGCTGTGACCAGATCCTGGAGGGGCATTCCAAAGTAATTACTTTCCCAATTTCTACGTGTTGGCGGATTGAAGTTTTTAGTTTTCTTTTTCTGCTGTAAGAAAATAAATTCAAGTTACAGCTATTAAAATTAATTTACTTCCAAATATTAGTGTCAAGCAAATACAGTTTGGAGCAAAATAAATATTTAAAAGCTACATTCAATCTAAATGCCTATGAATGGAGAAACAAAAGTAAACAAAAAATAAAAATAAAAATTAAAAAAAGACAAAACTGACCTGAAGAAAAATCTTTGGAAAATACATGACTAAAGAGACAAGAGATTTTAGAAAGATCAGAAGTTATAAGAGATCATTTTCATGCCAAAACAGGGGACAAACTAAGAATAAGCAATGACCAATCCAGTTTTAGTTTGTATGTGGTCTGTTAACTTTATTTTGGCCTTTGAGATAGACTCAAACTGATTTTTTTTTATGAACTTATATTTGTAACATGAACAAATTGCTGACAATACAATGAGACTCTATAACTCCATAAGCTTTTAGTCTATTTTCCCTTGTTATTCTTCCACTTTCTATCTACTGACTGAATCTTTTTGAGAAAGGGTCTCAGGCTGGCCCAGAGTTCTCTTTGCAGTCCAAGCTGGTCTTCAAGTTGTAACGATCCCCTTGCCTCACTGACTGAATTTTAAAATGTAAAAATAATTTGCAAAATAAAATTTTCAAAAGACAATACAAAAATGATTCACAATAATAAAAAACAAAATTATGTATGAATGTTCAGAGTTCAATCTAGCATTAGAAAGAAAATAGATTCTTCATCAGAGTGAAAACCCAAGGAAGTATGGTCTGGAATCACTGATGAAGAGACTGACTGAATCTTTCTTGAATAAGGCATAGCAAGAATCTTCACAGGTGATTCCACTGGACACTACTAGTTTAATAATCTCTGAAATACAAGAAGATAAAAAAGCTTTCTGAAATTCAAAGACGACATTAGAGCACTTTTGTTGACAGCTTTGGCTCCTTTTTCAGTCTAATTTTACCTACATAAGTGGATGCCACTTGGATATACTCATAAGTGAAGTAAACCAGAACCACATGTGTAAATATCATATAGTGTCCCTAGTGTAAGAACTCAAAAGAAGAAATAAAAACAGAAAAGTAGAACACAATTAAAAGGAAAGCGAGAACTTAAGGATTAAACAACGAAGAGAGCAAGGAGAAAAGTTAGGGAACATGACAGGGGCAAAACCATACATTTATACAAGATGATTCAGGCAATGATCCTGAGAATCTTCAGCAGGTTTTTGAAGCTAGCAGTTAATTGGTAGGATTCTCACCCTAAATATGCTGATACCTGTGAACGAAGCAACAGCACTGAAAATAGCAATGTGTAATACTAGGGTCATGCTTGTAATGCCTGTCATTCTGGTCTTCTAAATATGTACTGCTTGTCATGTCATATCAATTACTGCTATACTGTCTTTCAAGTAAACGTTTGTTTTTTAAAAAAGGGTAATAAATGAAAACAAGAGACAAGAAAAAAAATGCTATAAGATTGTCCTGCTACAATGTTGTACATGGTTAGATTTCTAAATTTCTGTGTAAAACTATGTAATTATTTATTTCTATTTTTAAAAATAATTTTTTCTGCCAGTCCTAGCCCAGGCCCAGTGAGTGTGTGGGAGAGCTTCCAGCTAACCTGCCCCAGTGGAACCTACTGGTTCCAGCCCAGGCGTAGGGTGGGTGAGACCCTCTTCCACCCCTTGGGATACCCCCCATGACTCCGCAGCACCTCCCCTATGCCGTCCTCCCAGTAGGAATTTCTGCCCCATTCCTGAAACCCTCAGACCCAGTCCTAGCCCAGGCCCAGTAAGTGAGGGAGAGCTTCCAGCTACCCTGGGCAAGGGGGACCTACTCGTCCCAGCCCAGGTGAAGTGTGAGACCCTCTTTCCCCCCCTGGAACGCCTTCCACCACTCCGCAGCACCTCCCCGACCCCACCCACCGAGTAGGAATTTCTGCCGCTTCCTGGGAACCCCCAGCTCCAGTTCTAGTACAGGCCTGGTGAGTGTATGGGAGAGCTGTCTTTCCCCCCTATTCCACCTTGTCCCCTCCAGACTCAGCTCAGGCCTGGCCTACAGGCCTGGGGTGAAACCCTTCAGCTGTAATCCCTACAGAGTGTAGGAAACAGAACCACCCAGCTAGTCCAGAAGCAGAAAATCTTGCCAGTGGGGCAAAACAGGTTCACCCCCAAGGGCAGCAGCAGAAAGGAAATGACCACAAAAGCCAGACCCAAGCCAGGCACAGCTGGATAAATCCAAACTTTGTAGATCTACACCTGAACTTCAGTAGGTGCTAAGACTATAACTACAACAAAGGTCAGAAGACAATGCTACACAAAATGACAACAAGAAGGAGCAAAATGCAGTCTCAGAACCCAAGTCCAACCATAACAAGTACAGAGGACACTAACACAGAACAAATTGGGAATCACACAGCTGAAATCAATGAATCAACAGCTTCTGAAATAAAGAAACAGCTGCAGAAAGGTATAGAGGAAATCAGATTGGAAATGAAAAAAGAAATCCCTGAATTAATAAAATCTGCAGTAAAGAATCAAATGCAGAAACATATGGAGGAAATCCAATGCCCACCCACAACAAGTGCAGAGGACACTAGCTCAGCTCAAATGTATGAATTCATAGTGTCGACAGTAAATAAGCAACAGCAGAAAGTCACACAGGAACTCAGAGCAGAATTCTTTTCTACCAGCTCAGCTCAAATGTATGCATTAATAGCGTCGCTAGTAAATAAGCACCAGCAGAAAGTTATAGAGGAACTCAGAGCAGAATTATTTTCTGAAATAAAAAAAAGAATTCTCAGAACTCATAGCATCTGAAGTAAAGAATCAACTCAGAAATATAGGGAGGAAACCCAATCTGAAAAAAACACTGCAGTAAAAGAATTTATAACTTCTTCTAAAGAAGACACTGATAAAAAAAATACAGGAGATTAGAAAAATGACGGATTTCTTGAATGAGCAATACAGGAAAGAAATAGATCGCATGAAGCAGAGTCAAAGAAATATAGAGGAAATGAAACTCTCAATCACAAGCTTGCAAAACCGTTTAAGTGAAAGTGAAGACAGTTTCAGATCTTGAAGATGCTGGTGCAGCTAGTGAAAAGATAAGAAAGGATCTCTTAAAAACAACTAGGATGCAGGAAAAAATAAACCATCACCTGCAAGATGATGCAAAGATGACCAATGTGAGACTAATAGGCATCAATGAGAAAGGAGTCAGTACAAATGATATTAAAAAAAATATGGGCAGAATAGCAGAAAACTTCACAAATATGAGGAAACAATCTGATATTCAAGTAACTGAAGCATACAGAATGCCAAGTACCTCAACCCAATTAAAAACACACCGAGACATATAATAGTCAAGAACCCAGAAATTCAGCACAAGAATAATATACTGAATGG